TAGAAAATAATCATAGCTAATGAGATTAAACATGTTTTAAAAGCAAAAACAAACAAAAAACACCCTCACACCAAGTACATGTGAGTGTGGGCCCATGATTCTGAGAGAATGGAGAAGAAGGGATTGTGGCCTGCCTGGTCATCCCCCCTTGGGAATGATTTCTTTCTTTCTCTATCTTTCTGGTGAGCACATGTGCTCTATAGCAAAAATCTCTCTTAAACGTAAGTAAGTAAAGGGCTTGATAGTAAATATTTCTACTAACTGAATTCTGCTGCTGTAGTAAAAAAGCAGCCAAAGACAATATGTAATTGTCAAGCATGACTGTGTTCCAATAAAACTTCTATTTACAAAAACAGGCAGCTTTTATGCACCAAGGTAACAATCAAGAAAGTGAAAAGACATCTCATGGAACAGGAGAGAATATCTGCAAATCATCTATTTGACAAGGGACTGGAATCTAGAATATGTAAATAAAATTTTACAACTCAGCAATAAAAGAATTCAATTTTAGCGGGACAACGGATTTGAATAGACATATCTCCTAAGATGGCATACAAATGGCCCCTAAGGATATGAAAAAAATGTTTTGCATCATTAATTATTAGGGCAGTGCAACTGAAAGCTATGAGATGCCACTTTATACCCACTAAGATGGCTGTAGTAAAATAGTAACAAGTGGTGGAGAGGATGTGGAGGTATTAGAACCCTCTTTTACTGCTAGTGGAAGTGTAAAGTGATATAACCACTGTGGAAAAATATTCTCTGGTAGCTTCTCACAAGTTAAACAGTTCCCATATAGCCAACAATTCCATCTCTAGGTATGTAGAGATGAGAGCATTAAAAATGTATGCAAATGTTTGTGGCAGCACCACAGTAACCCAAAAAGTAGAAACAACCCAAATGTTCATTAGCTGATGATTGGATAAGTAAAATGTGTGTTCATACATGAGAATGTTATTCAGTCATAAAAAAAATGAAGTGCCTAAGTGTACTACAACATGAATGACCCTTGAAAGCATGCTAAGTGAAAGAAACCAGACATACAAGGCCACATACTGTATGATTCCATTTATATGAAATTTATAGAACAGGCAAATCTATAGAGAACATGGAACAATGATTGCCAGAGCTGGGGCTCACGGGGGATAGAGTGACTAATGGGTACAGGGTATTCTTTTGGGGAGCAATGAAACTTCTGCAGTAATGGTTGCAGTGTGACTAAACTAAAGACGATTGAATTGTACACTTACAGTGGTGAATTACGGCCAGCAAGTTGCATAGCTGTTAAGGTGGCTAGATCCTGCATATCCTATTGCATGGTTCAAGTCCCAGAATTGGTAACTTGAAAAACATGCACGTGCACACACACACACACGCCCAAAATTCCAAAAGGAGAGAAAGGTGAGAAGGGATTGTGGCATAGCCATCCCCATGGGAGTGTGTCTAATCCTGTCTCACTTTCCCTCTCCAGCAAGTACACATGACCTTTGGTAGATTAAAATAATAATAATAAAAAAGATGGTGAATTGTATGGTATATGAATCGTACCTCAAGTTAAACAAAAAATAGGCAGTGGGCCAGATTTGGCCTGTGAGCCATCATTTACCAACCCTTGGTGTAAAACAAGTGAAGAATTTCAAGAGCTCCATCCAAGTCATGGAAATATATTGAAAAATTCAAATCCTCTTGCCCGTTCGATTTCTACCCAAATGAACCCTCACTCAAATGGTATTACTTCCCTCCAAAATGAATATTTAGTTACCATGATGTTTCCCACAAAACACTCCATTACCTCAATTGCATCCAGAGTATCATTCAGTTGTTTTCTTTCATTCTGTTTGTGGTCCATCTCTGGCCCATCATAGAACACACCAAAGTTGAGGTACACTTGCACAGAACCAAAGTGATTTTGCTGGTTTTTTAGACAAAGCTGATAAAAACCTGTAAGAATCCTAAGATCATTACCAAGTTATTTGGTCTCCCACGTTTTGTGAAGAGTGTTCTTCAGCTTAAAATTGTTAGTGCAGTATACTTTTTTACTTGGGAAGTAGAGGTCCCATTTTTTACACAGAAGACACTGCTCTTATACAGAACTAATTTTTACTGAAATAGCTTACCATATTTTGCCAAATAACAGTAATTACAGTTCTATACTGGGTAGCAAATATTTTTTTTTCCCTCTTGTCCAACCTAAAATTCCCACATCTCATACTAAAGAAATACTAGACAGATTGAGTTCAGATTAGAGCCAGGGACACTATCTTGTACTTAAAACTAGGGAAAAAGGCATTTTGAATGAAAGAAACTACTCTGCTAGAGTAATTGCATGCAAGGTAGTCTGTACAGTGACTGTTCTGGATATCTACTGGTGCTGGTTCTCAACTGGGGTTGCCTCTGTGTGTGCATGCGTGCTTGCCTCTGTGTGCGTGCGTGCGTGCATGCATGTGTTGTGGGGGATGGAAAAGCAGATGATGGGATTAAGGGTGTGACTGTTTCTGAAAGTCAGAATGATTGGAAGGCACTGCTGGCA